TTCCTTCTGCAGAGTGGCTGGTGGGTTTGAACCCCCAACCTCACGGTTAGCAGTCAAATGCCTTAGGCACTGTACCACCAGAGCTCCTTAAAACCAGGAAAGTCCCAGGCAAATGGGGCGAGTTGGTCACCCTATTTGCCCAATTGCTTGTCTTTGTTTTAGTTTTCCTTTCTTTGTCTTTTCTTGGTTACGAAGAAGGTGGTTCATCTTCTGTGTTGTTTTTCGCTTTGTTTTTTACTCCAATAAATATATATATCACAGAGGTTGCACATCTTTCTTGGGGTTGGGTTTGGTTTGGGTTTTTTTTTTTTTTCTAATTGTGGTTAATATATAGGTAACAAAGTTGTCCGTCGGGTTTTGTTTCGAGTATTTTGTTGTTTTATTTTGTCTCAATGTGTTGTGGTTGTACATCTTATCATGAATCCACCACCCCGTTCTGATTTGGAGGTGAACTCCCAGCTTCTCCTGCTGTAAATAGTTCTCCCTCAAAACCAAAAACCAAACTCACTGCCATCAAGTCAATTCCGACTCACAGCAACCCCTTTTGGTTTCCAAGGCAATAAATCTTTACAGAAGTAGATTGCCAAGTCTTCCTTCCGCAGAAGGGCTGGTGGATTTGAACCGCCAATCTTCTGGTTAGTAGTCCAATGCCTTAGGCACCACACCACCAGAGCTCCTTCAGTTTGCTTAAAATTTTGGCAATTGTTTTTTCAAGCCTTAAAATTATTTAATTTTGTATGCCCTAAATCAGGCTTGGGCCTTAGTTTCCTTGTCTGTAAAAATACGCTCTAGGTCTCACCTCCTAGGGTTTCGGTGAGGATTACAGGAGTGAACCCAGGTAAAGTGCTCAGAACATGGTTGACCTTTTGGATGTGATTGGCAGGAGTTTCTACCAAGGCACCTCTGAGTAGACTTGACCCTCCAAACTTTAACAGCTGAGCGCATTCACCATTTGAACCAAACAGGGACTCTCCCCAACCTTAGATGAAGAAAAATAGTCTCTCTGTGTTTAACGGTTTTGTGTTTTATATTTAGGTTTAATTCCGGGGTGCTTATTTGGAGGGAGGTCATTGGGAGAAGGATAGATACAGAGGGTCAGGCTGGACCTCAGACCCCACCCACCTGTTTGCCCTAGCTCTTGTCTGCCAACCTCATACCCATACTGTTTCCCTAGCATGACCAACGGCGGCAAGACCACACTGACCAACAGCCTCCTCAAGTCGCTGCCCAACTGCTGTGTGATCCACCAGGATGACTTCTTCAAGGTGCCACCCTCACCCAGGGGTGGAGGGACACGGCCAGTCAGCCAGGCCCGGGCCAGCCCTGCCCTTGGTGGCCCTATGGCTGCATGGGCTGGGCACAGGCCTCCATTTGCCTGACCCCTCTGATAGCCCTGGGTGAGCCCGGGCCAGGAGAGTGAATATGGGGGCTCCTGTTTCCTGCTGTGTGCCCAGCCCACTCTCCCTGGATGCTACACAGTAGGAACCCCTGCTGGACAGATGAGGAAACAGACTCTGAGAAGGGCCATGCCACCCTGGGGCTCCTGGGCCCTTTCAGGCAATACACTTTGTCTCTATTTGCCCCATCTGAAAAATGGGGCTCTGAGTGGCCCTCACTGGTGTGTCCAGGGTGCGGGGCTATGAGATGATGGATGATGGATGTAAAGTCCCCTCCCTCCTGTTCCCACCTGTCACAGGAGGTCCACGACCCAGCCTAGCACTCCCACCCACCCGGACCTCCACTGCCAGGGGCGGGGCCAGCAGCTCTTCCCAGAGCCCTGCCCACAAAGGCTCCGCCCCCGGGTGGGGTCGGGGAGGTGGCGCAGGCTCTGAGCCCAGCTGGGGCTCCTCTGTTTCAGCCCCAAGACCAAATAGCGGTTGGGGAGGACGGCTTCAAACAGTGGGACGGTAAGGACTGTTAGTGCACCCCCTCTGCCCCCCATGGGCCCCCATGCCACGGCCCCGTGCCCACGGCCTCTCTCCCGCCCCCCAGTGCTGGAGTCGCTGGACATGGAGGCCATGCTGAGCACGGTGCAAGCCTGGGCTAGGAACCCCCGCAAGTTCGCCCACGCCCACGGGGTCAGTGTGCACCCCGACGCCTCAGACACCCACATCCTCATCCTGGAAGGCTTCCTGCTCTACAGCTACAAGTGAGCGGCTGCAGGCTGGGCTGGGAGATTCGAGAGCCTTCCAGGTGTCGGGGCCAACAGGAGGAGCCGAGTTGGGATCAACTCCGGGGCCAGGGAGTAGTACACTCCATACTTCTTAAGGAAAGGAAGTCTTCCCTCCCGAACCTGGGCTTTCTCAGGCAGAGCAGTGAGTTGGGCTGGATCCCCACAATGCTGTGTGATCCTGGGCAAGTCATTGTACCTCTCTGTGCTCATCCACATTGGGTTGTGGAAAGGAGAGCCCATCCTGAGGTCCTTGGGTGACGCAAATGATTTGTGCTCAACTACTCACTGAAAGGATGGCAGTTCAAAACCACCCAGCTGTGGTGCGGAGTAAAGGCCTGGCAATCTAGCTCCATATGGATCACAACCAAGAAAACCTTATGGAGCACAGTTCTCTGACACACGAGGAGCATGTCAGCCTCAGCCGCAATGAGTTTGGTGTTTTAGGACCCCATCTTTGGGGGAACTCAGGCCACTGTGGCCCAGTGGGCTCATGGGGGGGGGTCCTCCAGGGTCCATTAGGGGTGTTGCTGGTTCACAGTGGGAAGTTGGCCAAATGCTGGTCCCCTTCCTGGCCCCTAAGCTAATGACCCCAACGCCTCCTGCCCTCAAGTCTCCATTACTATGTGTTCATGAAACCCAACCCCACCCAGAATGCCCCCGGGCGCCAAGGCCAAAGGACATAGTCATATACAAAGAGGTGCAGGGGGTGAGGACCACACCAGGTGACGGTCAGAGAGGTGACACCAAAATGCCTATCTATAAAATTTTTGTGCAGCGTTTTCAGCAGAAATTTATTATTTTTTTTTTATAAAAAATATCCCTGTAGTTTTATAACAACGAAAATATTTTTCATAAGCCCAGCTTACAGGCGTCAATATACCTGCAAGGCTTAAAACTCAATGCTTATTGACTTTCTGAGCTTTCTAACGCCCTCGGGTCCAACCTGTCAGTTACCCAATTACAATGACGCTTCGAATCACGTGGTTTCGGCTGCACACGCTGCAAGCACACACTGTTGTTTCGGTTGCTTGCTGGTGTTTTCATCCTCGTTGATTTTATCAAATTTATGGTGTTTTAGCTACAGCTGTGGTCAGTAGTATTTGTGAACCTATATCCGTGGGGGGGTTGAGGGGATGACACCGTAAGTTACTGCCCTGAGTGACATCAGCCCTAGTGACGCCACTGCAAGGGGGCAGGGTGTTCTGCACAGAAGAAAGGAAAACTGGGAAGCTGACCGTGTCCCCCCGCCCTCAGGCCCCTGGTGGACTTGTACAGCCGCAAGTACTTCCTGACAGTCCCATATGAGGAGTGCAAGAGGAGGAGGAGGTGAGCCTCGGGCCGGGGCGGGGCTGGGGCGGGGCCAAGGCGGGCCAGAGTGGGCGGGGCTGGGACCAGAGAACCCGGAAATGCCCGCTGGACTCAGGGCCAAGCTGCACTAGGCCAGGGGAGTCCGCAGCAAGGTCCATGCTTACGCACCCTTGTCCCCTGCACCCACGGGATGACGGTTACAAGCAGGGGCACCCAAACCCTGGCCCGAGGCCCCTGACTGAGGGGCCATACTGCGCGGAACATCCCCGAAGGTGGCCTAAGTGGGGACCCGCAGGTCAGATAAGAACACCACAGCCTGCTCGGGGACCCTCCGTTGGGCAGTGTGGCCACCACTCATTGTCGCCCATCTTTCTCCAAAGCACCCGCAACTACGTGGTCCCAGACCCTCCAGGCCTCTTTGATGGCCACGTGTGGCCCATGTACCAGAAGTACAAACGCGAGATGGAGGCTAATGGCGTGGAAGTGGGTAAGCCCCCTGAGCAAAATGGGGCTCACAGCATGGCTGTGCAGAGCAGCATTCTCCATAATATCCCCAAAGTGGAAACAACCCAAGGAGCCATCAACAAATGAATGGAGAAACGTCCACACAACGGCCCCTTCCCACTTGCGACCATTTGGAAAACCTGGAAGTCCCTCTTCTAGTCTCACTCACAGTCTCTCTTGCTTTTGGCCAGGCAGCCATTTGATTCACACCTTAAGTGTTTCTCACAGTCCCTCTTGCTTTGGGCCCAGCGACTATTCAGTTCCAGCAGCCTGACTCGGCAGGCAGGTGGCCTTCCTCCTGACCCAGCAGTCTCCCTGTCCCCCTTATGAGCTGGCCGCCTGCCTGCTGGAGGCAGCCTGTTTGGTAGCTCACAGCTCAGCAGTTCCCTGATGTGGGCCCTTTGGATTTCAGTGCACCTGGACGGCACGAGGTCTCGGGAGGAGCTGTTCCATCAAGTCCTGGAAGACATTCAGAATTCACTCCTAAACCACTCCTAGCTAGGAGAGGAGGGGCCCGACCCCTGCCCTGGGACCCAGGCCTGTAGCTTCCCAGTTGATTCTGTGTGACCGTTTCCCTCTGAGGAAGTTTATACATGAAAGGGTGTGGGCCCCACTCCCAGCTTCTGTAACCTCACCATGGCTTATGTATTAAACCCACTCTTGTTTTTATAACCACTGGGGTCCAGTGTGTTTTGTTTGAGATGCTAAGGGGACCCCTAGCGTCCCCTGTTACTGTTGTTGTTGTTGTCCGGCGGGTGCTGATTCCAACTCCCGGCAACCACATATGACAGACTGGAACTGCCCCACAGAGTTTCCAAGGCTGTCAATCTTCAGAAGCAAAGCCCAAACCAAACCCACAGCTATGGAGTCTATTCTGACTCATAGCGCCCCTAGAGGACAGAGTGGAACTGCCCCACAGGGTTTCCAAGGTTGTCAATCTCTATGGACACAAAGACCAAACTGAACCCTCTGCCAGAGTTGATTCGATTCACAGCGCCTCTAGAGGACAGAGTGGAACTACACCACAGGGTTTCCTAGGCTGTCGTCTTTGTGGGACCCGGTTGCCAGGTTTTTCTCCCACAGAGCCTCGAAGTGGGTTCAAACTGCCAGCCTTTCAGTTGGCAGCCAGGTGCTTAGCCATTGCATCACCAGGGCTGCTTGGTTTATTGGTGGCCACTGGGCACAGGGCTGAGAGCTCAGGCTCTTACAGTCTACTTTGTGGGCCTGCCAGGGTGTCCCAGTGCCCTGATCAGGGGTCCTTGAGGCCTCAGTTTCCCCAAATGGGAAATCTCCTGCAAGCTGCCAACAGACAAGACAGTGCAAACCCAGGCCTGGGGCTGCACCGGATCTTCTGCCCCTTGTTTTGCCCCTTGGTTGGGCCTCACCCCCGAGCCTCTGTGTTCCCCTCTGTAAATTGGGCTGATACTCACTTCATAGGTTTATGGTAAAGCTTTCATGAGCCCCAGTCCCCATAAAGCACACAGTTCCTATCCCGGGAACCAAGCCTGTCCCCTTGTCCACAAAACACATGTCTGTCTGGGCCCTGCCAGCAACCTCAGTGACACATTTTATTACATACATCCATTTCACTGAGGGGGAAACAGGTTTAGAAACAGTCAGTGGGTGGTTTGGCAGAACTGGGATTGGAACGTCTGCCTAGATTGGCATCTCCCTAGATCCTGTTCCATCTCCCCAAGGCAGGCTGGAAAATCAGGCGAAGACGTGAGCCCACGGTAGTGTGGGGCACCTCTAGACCTGAGGGCGACACCCCGTGGCTAGATGTGGAACTGCAGTTGCCAGTCCTCTCAACCCAAAAGGGGCAGAAAAACCCTCCAATCCAGACAAGTACAGACAAAGCCAGAGAACATCTGGAAATTACGAAGAAATAAAAATAAATGACAAATGACCGTATGACCCAGCAAGTCCACTCCCAGGTGTATTAAAAAATAGCTGTCACTGAGTCAGTTCTAACTCATGGTGGCCCCATCGTGTCAGAGTAGAACCATGCTCCACAGGGTTTTCTTGGCTGACTTCTTCATAGACCACCAGGCCTTTCTTCTGAGGCACCTCTTGGTGGGTTCGAGCCACCAACCTTTCAGCTATTAGTCGTCAAGTGCTTTACTGTTCACACCACCCAAGAACTCCCTCGGTGCATACCCAAGACAAATGGAAACAGGACTCAAATATTTATACATAAGGGGTCATAGCAGCATTCTTCATAATACTCCAAAAGTGGAAACACCCCAAGTGTCCATCAACAGATGAATGGATACACAAAATGTGGTCCATTCATACGACGGACTATTAAACCAAACTCACTGCCCTCGAGTGGAGTCTGACTCACAGCGCCCCTACAGGACAGAACAGAACTGCTCCATAGGGTTTCCTAGCTGTCAATCTTTCGGAAGCTGACTGCCTCATCTTTCTCCCATGGAGCACCGGTGAGTTCAAACCACTGGTTAGCAGTCCAACTCTTTAACCACTATGCCACCAGAGCTCCTCAATGGGTCTTTACTCTGCCATAAGTAAAGTTCTGATACATGCTACAATGGGGAAGGCGGCTATGCTCACCATCATATCAGCAACACAGCACACTACAGCATGATGAGCCTTGAAAACATGATGGTTAGTGAGAGAAGCCAAACACAAAAGGACACACAGTGTATAATCCACTGTTGAGAACTGTCCAGAATAGGCCAATCCATAGATAGAAAGTAGATTAGTGGTTGCCTAGAGGTTGGGAGCTTAGGGAGAACGGTTAGTGACTGCTAATGGGTTCAAGGTCTCTGTGTGGATGACAGTGTTCAAAATTAGACAGTGGTGGTGTTTGTACGACTCTGTGGATACTCTATGAAACATTGACTCGTACCTTTAATTGGGTAGATTGTGCAGTATATGACTTATATCTCAATAAAGTTGTTTAAAAATCCTTCAGCACTTGATTTAAAAAAAAAAAAAAGACATAGTTGTGAATTTTCTTTTATTCATTGGTATTTTCAACATTTATGCATTTGCTTAAAATGCATTCATCCTAATAGAAGGGGAGAGAAACACAGAACAGACTCAAATTCTTTAAAAAAAAAATCCAGACTTGGGGGCAGGACTGCATAGGAAAGGACACAGGGAAGAGGTGACCACAGGGAGGAAGTGGAAAGGGAGCTTTCCATTGGGCGGATTGCAGTCAAAGTCATGAAACAAAATGTGTATTAACTGTGGTATCGAAAATGAATTTGCTCTGTAACTTTTCACCCAAATCACAACAAATTAAAAAAAAAAAAAACTATAATAAAGTATGGGAGAAAAAAAATAAAGTGCAGACTTACTGACCAGATGAGACTAGAAGGCTCCCTGAGCCACCCAGAGATTGTCTTCAAACCTTGAACCAAAACTATCCCAAGGTCACCTTTTAGCAAAACAACAGTTCACAAAATATAGGCTATACCCTACGAGTATAGTGCTCCATTAAAGAGCCATGTGGACAGGCTGAATGACCAGGTACGTCCAGGCAAAAGGGAATATACCCATGACCGTATGTAAGGTTGGCAAAAGATGATATTTCTCCATACATATTTGTGCATGCTGTAAGAGTGTCCATAACTAGAACTAACAGGAGACCAAGTTATGATAACTTCTTAGGCACAGTCAGGCACCCTGATGGAGCAAGTAGTTGGACCATGGTTGCAGGGGACATCAAGCTCAATTGGCATAACGTGTGACACAAAAACATTGTTCTACAGCCTACTTTGGTGAGTAGCAACTAGGGTCTTAAAAGCTTGCAAGCAGCCATCTAGATGCAACGATGGGTCTCCCCTCATTCAGAGCAAAGAAGAATGAAGAAAACCAACGATACATGAAAACAAGTAGTCCAAGGGACTAGAGGACAACGTGAACCTCAGCTTATATATGACCAGGAGACCAGAAGAACTAAATGGTACCCAGCTACCACTGTCAACCACTCGGAGGGGGATCCGTGCAGAAGATTCCAGATAGAGTGGGAGAACAATGTGGAACAAAACTCAAAATCACACACACACACACACAAAAGACCGCATTTACTGGTCTGTTAGTGCCTGGTGAGACCCCCAAGACTGTGACCCCTAGCTGGAACTGAACTCACTCCTATGGTTTCCAGCCAAACAAGAGACAGATATATGGGGTAAACATTTACCTCAGGTGGATACACTCCTTAGAACCATCAATGATGGAGATCAGAAGGGTGGTATTCACACAGGGAGACAGCTCAGGAGGCAGGAATGCACAGGAAAGATACAGGGAAGAGCTAACTATGAGAGCAAGTGGGAAGAGAGCTGTTACATTGTGGGGAATTGCCGTCAACGTCATGAAATAAATGTGTAAAACTGCTGTCTGGAAAATTAACTTCTTCTGCAGAAACTATCGTCCAAATCACAATAAAAATTTAAAAAGAAAGAAAAAAAAATTCATCTACATGAGACCAAATGGTCAACAATGACTCTAAAGAAAAGATGAGAAGATAAGGGGGCTGAGAAACTAGATTAATGAAAAGGGAACAACCAGAATGCAATTAAAGAGAACACTGACGCATTGTGAAAAATGTAACTAATGTCACTGAACAATTTGTTTAGAAATTGTCAAATGGGAGCCTAATTTGCTATGTAAACTTTCACCAAAAAAGCACAAAATATTATTTCTTTAAAAAATATATATTGTAAATGCATTCATGTCCATCTCATTAAAATATGACTAACAGTACTTGATTGTTGCACTGGTACAGGGCACATATTTTCATGGGAACCAAATATCAATTCTCTCAACAAATGTGTTTTGGGTGTCAACATCAGGGGTCATCTAACTACAGCCTGAGGGCTGAGAAGGGCTTGCATGTTTTTAAATGGTCGGGGCAAAAATAAAAATAATTAAATTTCATGACACATGAAGAGTATATGAAATTCAAATTTCAGCATCTATAAATAAAGTTTTATTGGCACAGGGCCATGCCCATTCATTTACACATAACTTCTGGCTGCTTTCATGCTACACAGCACTGTTCAGCTGCCATAGAGATTGCCTGTCTTGCACAGCTGAAAAGATTTGCTCTGTGCCCCTTTGCAGAAAATGTTTGCTGTCCAGTGTGGGGAGGCCCTGTGTGGAGTGGGGGGCCGTAGGGAGAGGGGCCAGCAGCAGGCAAGGTCAATGCATCCTCGAGGCAGGAGGAGGAAGGAGGCTGGGGGCCCGCCAGAGCGTGCCCTTTGCCACAGGCACGGAAGATCTCCAGGCTGACCTGCTGTCACCAGGTCCAAAATAGTCCAGGACAGGGCAGAAGGGTGGGAGATGTGATTGCAGGGCACCCAGCACCCTGCCTGCCCACCTAGGCTCTTGGTCATTATTTTGAAAAATGACCATGCGAAGAGGAGCCATAGGGTGACTGGTGTGATCCAGTTTGCCCAGAACTTTCCCAATTCTAAGGCGCTCTGTGGCACAGAGCTTAAGGCATTTGACTGCTAAACAGAAGGTTGGCG